ATTGTAAACCTTTAGTAATTAATGTGATACAATTTTCACAGGTAAAGTTAAGAAAAGTGGGACGATGGATAAAAGTTGGATTGATTTAGGAACTAGGATGTCAAGAGAGTACTTGGATGGGATTGATACATTCCTAAAGTTTGCATACAGCAACAAGACTAAAGGTTCATATATTAGTTGCCCTTGTAGGAATCGTGAGAATCGCTATAATTTTTCACGAGAAGTTGTGAAGGATCATCTTTATAGTAATGGCTTCTTTGAGAAGTATAAAAATTGGACTAATCATGGTGAATCATATGTTCCTTTGCATGGTAATGAGGATGTGCAAACTTTGGTGGATTCAAATGTTAGGGATGATATGATTGGAATGCTAAATGATACTCTAAGAAATCCACATGTACATGTAAATGTTGAGGATGATGATCGAAGTACAAATGAGGCTTGCATAGGTCCAAATGAAGAAACTATAAAGTATTTCAAACTTCTACAAGATGCACAAAGTGAACTGTATCCAAGCAGTAAGAAATTCACATCATTGTCGTTCATTGTTCGACTTTTGAATATGAAGGTGCTCAATAAGTGGACAGACAAATTTGTTGACATGCTACTTGAGTTATTGAATGAGGCTTTTCCTGAAGGTGTGAAACTTCCAAGTTCATACTATGTGGCTCAAAAAGTAACTAAGGATTTGGGCTTCACATATGAGACTTGGGATGTATGCCCTAATAGTTGTATGTTGTTTCGAAATGATCATGCAAGTCTTGATGAATGTGTTGTTTGCAAGAGTTGTAGATGGAAATTGAATGATGGTAAAAGACGTGGTAAATGTAAAGCTGCAAAACAAATGAGATATTTGCCTTTGAAGCCAAGGTTGCAAAGATTGTTTATGTCAGCCAAAACAGCAAAGCTCATGAGATGGCATCAAGAGGAACGAATTGATGATAGTGTGTTAAGGCATCCTGCTGACTCCCCTGCATAAAAAGATTTTGATGGACAAAATAGCGTCTTTGCTAGTGATAGTCGAAGTGTAAGGCTTGGGTTAGCATCTGATGGATTTAATCCATTCAGATCAATGCACATAGTTCATAGCACTTGGCTTGTCGTGTTAATTCCTTACAACTTACCCCTGTGGATATGCATGAAGCAACCATTTTTCATTTTTTCTGTACCTATCGATGGCCCAAAAGGACCTGGGGACAAGATTGATGTATATTTACAACCATTAATTGAGGAATTGAAGGAATTGTGGAATGAAAGTGTAGCCACATTTGATGCATTAACTAATCAAATGTTTCAAATGCATACAGCTTTGCTATGGACAATTAATGATTTCCCGGCTTATGCCAACTTATCAGGTTGGAGTACAAAAGGTGAATATGCTTGTCCTTGTTGCAATACAAAAAGATATCATGTTGGTTGAAACATGATAAAAAGCATTCCTACATTGGGCATCATCGATTCTTGCCTAACAATCATAAATTTCGAAAGGATAGAGTATCATTTGATGGCAAAAGAGAATGGGGAAGCAAACCTAAATTGTTGTCTGGATCTGAGCTATTGCATCAGTTGGATTCAAAAGATATCTTGACCCAATACAAGATTGATGACCTTAAGAAAAGGCAACAGAGACAAAGAGAGAGGGGACCTTCCAAATCTCGAAGCCATAATTGGAAGAAGCAGAGTATATTTTATGAACTACCATATTGGAAGCATAGGCACAATCTTGATGTGATGCATATAGAGAAAAATATGATAATGTCTTGTGGACATTACTTGGAGTTGTGGGAAAATCTAAAGACAATGTGAGTGCTCGACGTGATCTACAAGAGATGAATATTAGAAGACCACTACATGTGCAATCAAAAGGGTCCAACAAAGTGTACTTACCTCCTGCACAATTTACAATGAGTAAGAATGAAAAAGATATATTTCTCAAAGTACTAAAAGGAGTGAAAGTACCAGATGGGTATGCATCAAATATTTCAAGACGTGTGCATTTAGAAGATAGAAGCATTGGAGGTCTTAAGAGTCACGATAGTCATATTTTGATGCAACAACTTATACCATTGGCTATTCGCAAATCCTTGCCCAAGAGTGTGGTTGAAACCTTGATTGAATTGGGTAATTTTTTCGGCAATTGTGCTCTAAGGAGAATCATGCAGCAGATTTGGAATAAATTCAAAATTGCATTAGTGTAACACTTTGTCATCTTGAGAAAATATTTCCACTTGCATTCTTTGATATAATAGAACATTTGCCTATACATTTGGCTGATGAAGCTTTGATTAGTGGAGCAGTGCAATTCAGGTGGATGTATCCAATTGAAAGGTTTCTCCTTATGTTGAAGCAGTATGTGCATAATCAAGCTTATCCAGAAGGTTCAATTGCTAAAGGTTACTTGATGGAAGAGTACATGGAATTTTGTGCATGGTATTTGGATGATGTTGAAACTAGAAGTAACCGACCAGTGAGGACCTACGATGGTGGTGATAACATGGGTCGTGCTATTGGAGAGAACACTATATTTTATCTTGATAATAATGCATGGACACAAGCTCATCAATATATCTTATTCAATACAAGTTCAGTTGCCCCATTTATAATGTAAGTTGCATCATCCATTATTATTATTCCCCTCCCTCCTCTCTCCCCTCACATCCCCTCTCCTATGAAACAAGGAAATTATCTAACATATCTTTCAATTTACATAGCAAGCACCTTGAATTCCTTAAAAGCGAAATGCCACGTGCAGATAATCATCAAATTCAACGTGAACATTTTGAAACATTCCACACTTTATTTGTGGATCATATATGTATATTTAAATATATCATACAGCTTACATAGTTTTTTTTATTTATATTAACAATTTTTATTTATATTGAATTTTGTTTATTTTTTTAATAGGTCCAAACTTTACGAGTGACAAATGCCACAATTTCTAAAGAAATCAATAAATTGGCAAATGGTCCTACTAACTTAGCAAGTAGATTTAATGGCTATATTATCAATGGTTGTCAATTTCGTATCAACACCATTGATAACAATCGAACAACTCAAAATAGTGGTGTTTCTTTGAAGGCAAATACAATGAGTTATGCTAGTCGAAAGGACAAAAATCCTCGTGTGGGAGTTGTTTATTATTATAGACGATTGATTGACATTATTGAAGTCCGGTACAGTAATGACACAAAATATGTGTTGTTTAAGTGTGATTGGATTGACAATATTCGCAGGATGAAAGAAGATGTCTTTAAAGTCAAGTTAGTCAACTTTAAGCACTTGTTATATCGAGATGAGCATCAAAATCATGAGCCTTTCATCTTGGCATCCCAAGCAGAGCAAGTTTGGTATGTCCCAGACCCCTTGGAACCAGATTGGAATGTTGTTGGGAAGATGTCTCAAAGAGGATTATTTGATATGCAATCTAATGATCCTCAAGCTGAGCCTTATATGGATCAAAAATTGGAAGACAATGTTATGCTCCGGGATGAAGAAGTGGGTTGGGTGAGGAAAGGAACAGAAGGAGAGACATTTGATGTTTAATGAATATTTGAATATGTTGATGATCTGAAAGTTGTAACGCCCCCAAAAAAAAACATACTATTGTTCCCAACTCTGTGTCTGTCATACAAAAATGATGTGCAGTACATGTTTTCTTTTAAGTTCTTATTTGTTTGTATACTCTACTGTTCAGTTAAAATTTGTATGGGAGAAAAAACACCACCTACAAACCAATTTCTCCGATTCACCAACTCAAAGGTGCATTACTGTCTCTTTTTAATTTTGTTATTTGTTTGTATACTCTTCTGTTCTGCTGAAATGAATATGGCAAAACAAACACCACCTAAAAAACTTATTTCTCTGATGCAAAACTTGTTGTCAAAATCTGTTGGGCACAATTAAGGCTCTGGTTGATTTTTGGTTTCTTGTTATTTTTTGAAACTCTGTTCTTGTAAATATGTGACGAATAAATCTATGCTTCAAAAATTTTAGCTATCCATTAAATATGTTTTGTTTTTGCAATGGTGTTGTTATACATTAATTACCTATTGATTCGTTGTTCTACTGTTATAAACTAACTGTTGGACTCTAAATTTCAGCGAATATACATGTATTGTAATTGATAACCTAATATGTGCTGCTGTTGTAGTCATGTGTTTGTTTTGTGTGTACTAATATGTACTGAAAAGCTGTTCTTCAAACACGAAACATTTCAATTAATATACCCCAAAATATGAAAGGACCATCCCACGGCGAATTGTAATACACTTTTTCATGTCATTATTGCCTTTGTTGTCTCCGGTGTTGTTCCCTGTTCCAAAACAGCGGATGGATTCCTCTTTTTCCACTGCCACGTCCACATGGCCACGGCGCATGTGTGCTTGTGGCTATGGCCATTGTTTTGTGAAGGTCTCAAGATCTCACAAAAATCCTAGTCATGCGTATTATGTTTGCCCCCAGCCCATGGTGAGTTTAACAAATGATTATTTCTCAATCCATATGTTTGCAAACTGTACTTTCCATAACTAATAAGTGTTATGTTTGTTACTCATCAGCAATGTGTTAATTGGAGTGCTTGGTGTGACGAATTAGGGAGATGGAGCACCGACCATGACTTGTCAACAACCGATGTCATCTAGTTACTTGTTGATGTCCTGCACATTATTAATACTTTGCATGTACTGAAAACAGTGATTTGTGTGTTATGCATCACGGTCATCATCTTATTACTGTGAATGTAAAGTCCATAGGTGATACAGTTATTTATTACCTTTGTACATAAGTAAGGTTTTGAAGAAGTACTGCTTTGAACGAGTAATTACATTGTCATACTGTGTATGTAAATGCTTTATGCTTTTAGTATATATCGTTCTGGTTTTGTTATACGTTGTTGTTGTTCTATTTTGCATACATGTTTTGGTTCGGAATGTGTTGTGCACATGTTTTCGTCAACTGCCTACTAATGTATGAAACATATGTGCTCCCACATTAGCATAATGGCTGCACCACGGTCGTCCCCTCGTACACAGTCTAAAAATAAAGGGGTTGGGCCTTCAGGCCAAGAAGGATTTGTTGATGGCGTGGATCATGCACATAAGGAAACCTGGGACAGTGCAGCCATAGCAATCTTCCTAGAGTGCATCAGGGACGAAATATTAGCTGGATGTCGGGCAACTACAACCATCATCATCGCTGGTTACAAGGAACTTGCAATCAAATTCGCTAAGCACACAGGTAGACATCAAGAAATGAAACAGTTGAAGAACAAGTACACCAGTTTGAAAAAGGAATGGCTAGCTTGGAACAAGTTGATGGACAGCACCAAGGGTGTCACCGGAATTGGGTTTGATAGGGAAATCGGGTTATTCACAGCGTCCGACGAGTGGTGGGAAAAGCTGAAATAGGTATGTACCAAATTTAAATGTACGTAATAAATTATGAAACTTTCATGGAAACATGTACTTGTTAGTAAATATCTTGATTGATTGTCCCATGTTATTTTATGCAAAATTTGTGTCACCATTTGCTTCATAAATTATTTTTTTTCTTACAAGTTTTTGGATGTACAGTGAAACTTCCACATTTTTTCAAATAAATTATTCACCATTTACTCTACATTGAAAGACTACTGGTGAACGCAGTGGACCATCAACTATTTCAGCAACATCATAAAAAAAAAATATTACACATAAAACAAAAAAACCGAAGACAACTTCCAGCAAAAAAAAATGTTCAACACAATGCATATACAAATATGTTTTTCAAAGCCATTTTCATGTGATTGGCCAATAAAATTAGCACAAGCCAATTTGTCCAATGCAATGCATCTATGGATCCAAATGAAGGAGTATGTAAGGATTAAAATGTTAACTTACAATGGCAGTACATGAAACTTGTTACTAGATTGTTCATTGATTGTCCCATGTTATTGTAATGTGAAAATTGTTAGTAAAAAAAATGGATAACCCATGTTACAATGCCAGTACATGGAAATGTTAATTGTAGACTAGTTTGTAAAAAAAGTGGATAACCCATGTTATTTTTGTAAAAAAAATGGATAACCCATGTTACAATGGCAGAACATGAAACCGTTTTTATTGTTAAAAGTAATGTTATTTTTTTATTTTTTTTTGTAAGCCCACTAGTTTTTTTTTTTTTTTTTTTGGAAAACAAATTTTTTTTTTTTTTTTTAACAAAAATTTTTTTTTTTTTTTTTTTTAAAATAAATAAATCGCTCTAACTTGTTCGAATTTTATTATTGCATAATATTCTCATCTTGCCACTCTAGCTATATGTGATATCTAAATTCAAATTTCGTTATTCTACAATATAACTTCCGTTTTCACTAATTATGTGTGGTACCTAATTTTAAATCTCACCATTAAAATTTACTTGTCTCCCTTATAGTTTAAAAAGATGCATGAATCTTAGACCACATAAATCTTTGCCAACCATCCGTCTAGCAACTGAGGTAATGGATCAATCTAAAGTGACATAGCATGTTCATTAATGGATCAACAATCTATCTGTTGGGCTTAGACATGCACTTTATTAGGATCAATTCAATGCAAGTTAGGCTTGATTTGCCTTGTTGGTTTTCAATATGCCATGATACCCTTCATGGAAATTATTTGATACTATTGAATATCATGGGTTACTATTTATGTAATATTTTCTTATTAATAAAAAAATCACAATGTATATTTAGAACTTGTTTGGAAATTGACTATATTAATTATTTTTTTAACTTTTATTAAAAAAATATGTAAAAAAATAGAGAAAGTGATGTGATTAAGTGTTTCGAGACTTTTTGACTATTTTAATCAAAAAAATTTCATCCCAAACAGTGCCTAAGTTTTTCTTTTATGTTTGAACTATTTCATAAAAATGAGTTAGCATATTTCATTAGTGAAATAATCTGCTACATGATTGGTTTATAATACTATATAAATAATGTCATATGAGTAATTGAGGACTACTAAATAATTACCAATTATTATTTAGTTAACATTTTAAACCTTTGGTCATATGTGATTCTATGTGTTACATGATATGGATACATTTGTCAAGTATGGGTATGTGTTGAAAACGGTAATTTTCCCTCACTCTGCCAGGCCCGGCTCTGAGATTTACGGGGCTCAAAGTCGATAATCAACTAATAAAAATATGAAGGGCCCAAGAAATTTATTAGTAGATTATCAACTTTGAGCCCCGTAAATCCCAGAGCTGGGCCTGGCAGAGTGAGGGAAAATTACCATTTTCGACACATACCCATACTTGACAAATGTATCCATATCATGTAACACAGAATCACATATGACCAAAGGTTTAAAATGTTAACTAAAGGACAAAAGATTTGTGTCAAAATCACAAAAAATACTTAACATTACATTACAATAACTAATAAGTATCGCTTGATCCTCCATCTTCTTGTATTTTTAGAAGCAAATAAATCAATCATACTTGCATAATCTAATTTTTTTACAAAATCATTTTCAATGAATAACAGTGCTAATTATTTTAAATGGACCTTTCAATTTTTTAATGGATTAATTTATTTTAAATTAATTTGGACCTTCCTTAATTTTTTTTGGACTTAAAATATACTTAATCTATTAGACTAAACTATAATAAGAGAGACCCCCTTTTTGGGTCTATTTTCAATGGATAACAATGCTAATTTTTTTGAATGGCCTTTCAATTTTTTAATGGGTCAATTTATTTTAAGTTAGTTTGGGCCTTTTTTAATTTTTTTAGATTTAAAACAAACCTAATATATTACACTAAATTATAATAAGAGAAACCCTTTTTTAGATTTATTTTGAGAGGCCCTAGGCCATCGCCTAGTGGGCCTATGCCAGGGCCGGCCCTGAAACCATGGCAACCGAATTGCACATTACAATTTCATTATTATCAGAGAAAATGCAGTATCTGCTAGTGCTTGCCAAGGGAAGATTTTTTATCTTTCCTGGATTCAGAAACAGCTTGCGTGTTGCCATCAACGAACTCAAATTGATTTTGAGCTTCCTTGAAGTCGAAGCAAAGAATAATACCAGTAGTGGCAATTCGTTACAGGCTCGTATTCTTCCTACTGTTTACTTTGCAGAACACATCACCAATGTTTTCCTCCTAAATGCAAACATAACAAGAAGAAGATCAGATGGGGTCAGTGCAGCATGTCAAATTATTCTTCAAAAGCCATTAATGGTGTTTCCACCGCGGAACCAAGTTCAATTCACCACCAAAATGAAGAAAATCGTAAATCATTTCAGAGCTTTGTACGGTGAATTCACAGATCGGTTAGAAACATGTCACGCTCAAGATCTCACAACCAATACTACACTTGAACTTGATATTCACACATTTAGTCGAGCAATTGCAAGGTACCGACCTGATAATGACGTATTTGTTGGACGCGAAGATGCTGAACAAGAGATCGTAGCATGATCGATCAACAACAACGAGAAAAGCCTCCGCGTGATTTCACTAGTCGGCGAAGAAGCAATCAGAAAGACAACTGTGGCAAGAAAAGTTTACAACAGACTAGACATTCGACAGCATTTCCAGTGCCGTGCTTGGCTCCATGTTCCGAAAGAATTTTCATACAAAGATGTATTGCTTGTCATACTGACAGACTCCAAATTTATTGAAAGACATAGAGCTAATGAAGGAGAACGAACTCTCAATTTTCCTTTTCAAGATTTTAATGGAGCTCAGGTTTCTAATAGTCTTGGATGATATCTGCACCAATGATGACTGGCTCAAATTTGTGCGTCCCTTTGCAGACGCCGTGAATGGTAGTAGAGTCATAATCACTACTCGTGACTCTAAGGTCGTGTCGGAGGTAGATCCGTGGAGTCATCCTCTGAATCTGATGCAGTTAACAGAAGAGGATACTTGGGCATTGTTCTTGAACAAAGCGGTACCAGAAAATAGTTCAGAGAATAATTTAAACAATGTCAAGGCTGAAATTCTAGTTTATGTCGCGGTTTGCCTATGGCAATTGTCTTGTTGGGAGGCTTGTTGTCGACTGTGGAATTAAGCGAGTGGTCAACAGTCATTGATCATCTCCTTGCTCGAGATCATCATTTCTTAAAATGTATTGTTGATTTGAGCTATGAAAAATTACCATCTAGATTGAAGCTTTGTTTTCTTTATTTGGTTATGTTTCCTAAATCGTATGAGATTTGGTTATTGCAGTTGTGGGTTGCTGAGGGGTTTGTTCAAACACCGAATAGACCAAGCATCGACTCTAAAGATATGGCCATGACATGTTTGGAAGAACTAGAGCGAAGAAACATGATTGAAATTGCGGAAAGGAAATCAGACAGAAGCCCCAAGACATGTTTGTTTAGAATCACGTATACATGCCTCTACTCAAATTTCATAATTTATCGAGGTCGTTTACTTTTTTTCAATATGTACAAATCAATACAATGCACACTATAACAATAAATTTATATTTAATTCTTTGTACCTTGACTCAACCACTTCGGCCCTCCACTTCTGGCCTGCACATATATTCCATGTGCCTCCGGTATACTTAACACCGCTCCAAAGCCAAACGTGTAGGGGGATATCGTCCCGAGTTTGACTCACACTTTCCGGATGGTTAGTATATACGTACGCGCGTAAATCAAAACACTCGTCTGCTCATGAGAACGAGGCCACAATATACATACACAAAACATCTCACTCATGATAACAAATATAACAATGCCATGCCTAAGACATTCAAATAAATCTCATAATCCTCACTTTTTTGTCATATACTTTTTCTCACCATCACTCAAATAAAACAACAATCCATAGAGTCATGGTGGAGTATAAGGAATTTATCTATGGGTTCCTAATTAATTTTAATTTCATATAACCATGAGTGTGATTACAACCATAAAATAAATACATATAAAAACCCTAAACCTGGCATACATAACTAATCAAAATAATTAAAATCAATCAATCAACTAAAAACCCTAACCCTTACATACACAACTAAACAAAATAATTAAAATCAATCAATCATCCAAAAAACCCTAGACCTTACATACACTACTAATCAAAATAATTAAAATCAATCTATCATCTTTATATAAATACAAAATCAAACTAACATCAAATAAATGAAAATAAATAAATAAAAACAATGAATTAAACATAAATCAAGAGAAGTGGGTTTTGTACTCACAATTATTTTTCAAAGATCTACAAATTATTTGAAGAATTAATTAAACCCCAAAAATAAAACCCTAACCCCTTTCTTTTCCTTTCTTTTCCTTTCTTTCATGTCCCTCTTTTCACACCACACGCGGCACAACACAGCACTCTCGGTTTTGATTTCTCTTTCTCTCTCTCTCTCACGAAGCAGAGCATTTTTTTTTCTTTTCCTTTCTTTTAATCTTAG